AAGAAAAAGAAAATAATAACTATTCTTCATTCCTTCAACCTAGGAACCCAACTGAATCATGGTGGTGATCTTCTTGACCCCAGAATGCGGGTGACTTTTTCTGTTCCTTCCTTGTTATTATCAAAGCTTAGAGTTACCACTTCTTTAACAGCTAGAATTGCATGCAATTAACAAAGGGGCAAAGAAAACCTAAGCCTATTCCCATAAGGAAGGAAAAAGACTAACATGGAAGGTGCAAAAGAAATAAAATAGAGGATAAGCTATATCAATCAACTTGGCAAAAGGACACATGATTTATCTACTAAATAATTTTAGATTTATCCCCCCCCCCCCAAGAATGCTTTACTATCATTTAAGTGGACAAAGGAAAAAAATACACTAAGTCCAAACATCACTGTCAAATTCTATTCCCCTAGTTTAAATATACACAAAACCATTGCAAATATTTTAAAAGCAAATGGGCATTCCTTTCTTATATTTTAATTAGAGGCCCAGTGCACAAAACTCAGTACACAGTAGGGTCCCAAGGCCTGGCCTGCGAATAGGGCCGATTGGTGACTTCCGGCTGCTGGCCAGGGCCTTTCCCCTCACCCCCATGCCTGCTGCCAGCAGGGGCCTTCCTTCATCCTGTGCCACCCCCTGGTGGTCAATGCACGTCATAGTGTGGCCGAACTCCCAGTTGGTTGAGCTTCCGTGGGGACAATTTGCATATTAACCTTTTACTATATAGGATATTAGATATATTATCTATCTAGCATCTAATGTAGTCTATGAATATTGGTTCTATGGTTTCACAACATTCTAGAATCATCAGATGCTTAAATAGTAAGTGCCAAGGGCCTCTAGTAGTCTGTTTCCTATAGTTGTGAGTCCCTAAACAGCTCCACTACAAAAAAATGTGATCATGGGCATTCACGATCACATTCGTTCCTCACAAGACTCAGCAGTAATTGTTCCCATTTTTATATCACAGAGTGGTAGAAATGCAAACCCATTCAGGTTCATCAGAGGCTAAAGTCCAGGTTTATTTCAACACACCAGGCTGATTCTCATTTGGGTATTAATAACCCAAGCAAGGGAATGTTTAGATGAGTATTTGACTGATGTATGCATAACAAGGTAAATAAAAGGTTTTGACAACAGAGAGTCTACTGCTAGAGATTTCATTGTCATGGGGGTAAAAAAATAAGGATTGAGAAAAAAAAAATAACTTCCAGGGTGAAAAAATAGAGAAATATTTAAAATCTGTCCTAGGTCTTTCAGGTATTTAACTAAATGAAGAATATATGGCCAGCTGTCTTGACTAAGATCACCAGATTTAAAAGTACAAATTACAGGATGCTCATTTAAATATGAATTTAAAATATATCTTTTTGTATAAGTATATCCCACACAATGTTAACAATCATTTTTCAAAAACGGAAAAACATTGTCCTGCTAATTTATAGGAGATGTTTTTGTGTTTTTTGGGGGGTCGGGGGGAGTTATGTGTATGATATACACAGTGGTAAAACAAAAATAAATTGTTTAAAAAAGATAATGAAAAATATCCCTATACATTCCCATTTAATATTTTTCTCTCTATTGTGTTTAAACTTCTGACATCCAAACTTGGACCCTTGGAAAATAAAAAGAGCTTTCTTTTAATAAATAAAAAATCCTTGGGATTTACAATTTTTTCAATATTCCTTTTGCTGTACATTATATCTTGCTTACAATAATCCCCTTTGGTCTAAAAAAAATATATATATATTTCATTCAGTTACTTAGGTTGTGTACCTACAACCCCAATCATTTGCAGAGAACAGATGAGAAAAAGACAGAATAAAAGGAATGCTGAGTCCCTTAAACCGTATTTGAGATACTACAATACACACACTCCACGTGTTCCCAAAATGATTCATGATCTGATTCCTCACCAGTCATTTCATTCACTCATTCCCTTTACTCTGTGCCTACCATATATCACCTTCATTCTTTTATATCACTGTTATCTCTATATTTTCATGTGTTACATTTCTGAAACAGCCTTTATATTTCTATGCAGTCTTTTTTTTTAAGTCACTTGCTTTAGCTATCAAGTCCAGCTTGCAGCTCTAACATTAAAATTTTAAATTGCACCACATATTTACATCCCCTCCCTTACTCAAGAGAAATAGTTCTCTTGAAATTTACTATATATTAAAGAAAACTGATAATAAAAATAAATTATCTAATTTAAATTTCAAAACATTTTACCAAAGACAGTACTATTTATTAGTAAACAGAGTACTATTTATTAGTAAACGGAGTTGCTATGTACACACAAGAACATTTTACACTTTTCAATGGAACAATGGGACACTTTAAATTCAGACCCAAAATAGCTATTTTTATTTAAATATACAAGAGTAATGATGGCCTAATGGGTATGGGAGCATTTTTTTTTCTCATAATGCCTACTCTAATTAATCATGTCAAAAGACTGGAATCAAGGTATAATTTAAAAAGATAACAAACTGAAATTCTAAATAATATAATAATTTACCTGAACAAAGTTTAGAATTTATATAAAATATACATATATCAAAGCCCAGTTACTCATGGTACTTACAGAATTTACTTATGAGATTATGATGCTACTTTTTACGTTATACAGACCACAGATTCAACTACACATACCTATTTACATATGACATCCGGAAGGAAAGAAGAAATGGTTAAGGCTTGGTAATCAATAAAAATACCTTTTGAGGTTTTAATACTACCTTTCTACAAACAGAATCTAAACTAGACAACGATAAACTAATTTAGCACAACTTTTTGTGTGTGATTAGCTTAAATTACTGTTTCAAAACAGGATGAGAATTTATAATTTAGTAACTCTCTAAAGTGTTTACAACTGCTTAAGTGCACTCAAACTCCTTTTTAAAAATTTGCTTAGCAATTTTCAAACAACTGAATTATAATTTAAACGTGTGATTTACAACTTTCTACAACTTTCCACTCCTTAAAAAAATGTCCCCTTCAATTTAGGGAATCAGTCCTCATAACAGCACAAAATATTAAAACAATTTAATAATAATAACTTAAACAAGTTTAAACTGTATCACATTTTTAAATTATGTGGATTTTACAATACTCTTTTGCTATGTGGTTCATTATTTTTCTCTCTTTTGAAGAATCAGAAGTATTGCATTCGTGCCATATATTAATAAGGTTGGTTCCACCGCCAGCAGGCTGCCCTTTTTTGGCTAAATTTATAATGCTCGCCGTCCTCTACTACTTTCATACAAGCACCCATCACCAGTAAATTCAGCTAATGTTTCAAGTCACCTTGGCATTTTTTATCTACACACACACTTGGGATGTATCCACTCACAGGATTATCTGAGAGCCTGAGGGTCAGTGAAGTGGGTAAAGAGAAAGTTGAAACATTTTAAACCTCATTTGAAAAACCACACACACAAACTGAAATCAAGTGTCATGTGAACCACCTTTCAATTTCCTTTCCAGCCTAAAGCAGCAGCTATGACAGGCTTCTGCTCAGCCCTTAAAAAAAAAAGTCCTCTAAGCTTTCCACTTCCTCTTCTCTGCCAGACACCCTCGGTTCTCCTGCGGGGTGATGTCTCCGGGGCGGGGGAGGGTGCGGGCCGGGCACCCACCAGTCCCTCCAGCCGCAGGGACGCGTCCACCGGGCTCTCCCGCCGCGGCTCCCGCCGGCGCCCCCTCGGCCGGGAAGGAGCCCGGCACCTCCCAGGAGCCCGGAAAAGCCCCACGCGAACGCAGACGGCGTGGTCACTTCCTTCGCTGACAGCCGCCTGCTCCCTCGGGCCCGCTCAGCCGCCCTCTCCCCCAAAGCGAGCAGGTACACAGGTCATACCGAGTGGTTCTCATCCCCACCCCCGTGTAAACGGGGGTATCCTAAAAGCCTCTTTTCCCTTCTTTCCAACCAAGGAACGAACAAACAAAATAAAACTCCGTGTAAACTAGAAGGTACTGTTAAAAACTGCCCACTCTGTCGAGGCAACATGTCCACGGTCAGCCCGGCTCCAGCGCCACTGCTGACTCCGAGAGGCGCACATTGTGCACAGCTGTGAGCTCAGCGGCAGCACCCCTTCGGTCACCCCGAGAACTGGATGGGATTGAAGGAAACACACACACACCCATACACACACACCCATACACACACCCATACACACACACAGCCATACACACACACACACAGCCATACACACACACACACACACACAATCATACACTCAACACACACGCACCCATACATACACCCCCCATACACACACACACAAACACACACACAAACTCATACACTCACACGCACACAATCATACACTCACACGCACACAATCATACACACACACTCCCATACACACAATCATACACTCACACGCACACAATCATACACTCACACGCACACAATCATACACACACACTCCCATACACACAATTATACACTCACACACACACACCCATACATTCACACACATACACAATCATACACACACACAACCATACACACACACCCATATACACACTCACACACATACACAATCACACACACACACTCACACAGCTCGCAAAGCTCTCCTGAGGTCTGAGGTTCCTCATTTCTAGTCTGAAACATAAAAACCCCCATTTCAAAATAAAAATTAAAAAAAAAATTTCAATACGAGAACTCTCCGTCTGCTTTTACTTGGAAGATTACTCTCCTAACTTCTAAAGCCAACCCGCTGGGAACTTCTAAGGTTCCGGCGATGGTACCGGCATCGAATTACAGGGCCCGGCTTTGATTTCGCACGCAAACCCTGGACCATTTTTTTTTTTTTTTTTTTTTACAAGACAACCTGCCAGGTAAGGCGAGTGGAAAGTGAGAGGCTCCACCATCAAAACGGAGACCCCGAAACTGAGCAGCAAGACCCCCTCATACCCCCCCCCACGCCCCCCGCGGCCGGGACCGGCTCCTCCGCGCCCCCAGCCCGGCGGCCGCGCCGCGCACTCACCGGAGGCCATGGCTCCGCTCCGCGCCGCGCGTCCGGACCGAAGGCAGCCGCGTCCGCCCGCCCGCCGCTCCTCCGCGCTCTGCCGGCGGGACCCCGCGTCCCCCAGGCCACCCCCGGGCGTCGTCCTCGGCCCGCCCCCCGCCGGCTGCGGCTCACACCTCCCACCCCTGCGTCCTCGCGCTGCGGCTCGCCCGCCCCGCGTCGCCGTCCGGGAGCAGGAGGCAGGGGGCGAAGCGCCGCGGCCGCGCGCCGCCGGGAGAGCCGCGCCGCCGCGGGGATTTCCCGCCGCTGACGTAGCGCGGCCACCGCCTCCCGGGGGCGGGGAGCCGGCCACCGCGCGGCGGGCGCGCGCCCCGCACTCCCCGGCCCGCCCTCGCGTCCCTCGGGGAGGGGGGGCGCTCGGACCCGGGTCGGGGGCTGCGGGGAGCGGGTGCGCCCGCGGGGTCGCCGGGAGCGCAGGGAGCCCTGGAGCCGGGAGTGGCGGCCCCGGGCGCGCGCAGGCGCCGGCCCCGGAGAAATCCCCCTCCCCCGGCGGCTGTGAAGAGCGCGGTTTGCAGCGCAGGGCGAGTGGGCGGCGCGGTGACGCGGGGAGGGCCGGCCGCCCGGGCCCGGGGGGCGGGGCGCGCAGCCGACTGAGGCCGGCCTCCCGCCCGGGCGGGCGGAACCGGCCCGGGGTTTTCTCCGGGTGGTTCCCCCCCTCTTCCCGATTTCGCACATGCAAATCCCGCCCCCGCGCCTGCGGGCGGCGCTGTGCGCCCGGAGGGGAAGTGCGGGAGCGGCTGTTGGTCCGTAGGCACTGGTAATTCACGTAGGGGCTTCGGGGACCTCCGCCAGCCGTCTGATAGCTAAAGTGCGAAGGCTCGCTTAACTTGACGTACTTTACCTAGTAAAGCTTCTTTTTTTTTAAATTAAATTTTTAAAATTTCTTTATTGATTAAGGTATCATATTTGTCCTCATCTCCCCCACCCCCCATACCCATCCTAAACCCCTCTCCACGCGTGCTCCCTCCACCCACGCGCGTTGTCCGTGACCACTGGTTAGGCTCATATGCACGCACACAAGTCCTTTAGTTGATCTCTCCCCTTTCCCCCACCCTCCCCTACCTTCCCTCTGAGGTCTGACAGTCTGATGGATGCTTCCCTGTCTCTGGGTCTGTTCTTGTTCATCAGTCTATGCTGTTCATCATTTCCCCTAGAAGAATGAGCTCATGTGATACTAGAAATACCCTTAGGTTCTTGAACGCTGAAGGTTCACCACACTGAATACGCAGTGTGCTCAACTTTAGTGAGGTGGACACTGTCCTGGGATTTGACAGACATACCCAGAAGGAAAGGGTGAATGGAAACAGTGGGTTAAAAGCAGTGATTTTTCAATATTTTTCATTTTATGACACATAAACTAATGACTAAAATTCTGCGGCACACCAAAAAATGTATTTTTGCCCATCTTACAAAAAAAAAAAAATAGGTGTGACTGATTCATTAACATTAGATGGCTATTGTTGCTTTGGATGTTAGCATTTTTAAAAAAGCACCTAAGGAGAAATATGTCAGTGACCCTGATTAAACAGTCAAGTATTGCATGTTTAAAAAATCATTGGGGCACACAGGTTGAAAATCGTTGTGCTGAAGGAATCTAGTATAACGTTGTTTCCTTCGTGTGCTAAGAACCTGTGTGTCAGCTCGTTTATTTCATTTGTAACAAATTGTAGAGGAGGTAATCAGGGTTCAGAGAAATTAAGTTCCTACTTCAGGATGTTGATAAAAAGAAACGGACAGTTTCAACAATGGGTTGATTCCAAAGCTCCGTGCTCTTCCCACTGTCCTCTCCATCTAAAATGAGGAGGGGGAATGGGGAACATCAACCTGCCATGCAAGTGCGGGAACTGGAGGACCCAATTAAGGGGTTGGGGTGGTATGGGGGGGGGGGGGGAATCTCCTACCAACCCCAAAATATTATTTTCACGAAAAGTACAAAAGAAGGAAACCATTGATAAGCATTAAACCATATTGTAATACACTAAAGAGATTGTAAAGACAAGAAATCTCACTTGGTCAGGAGCATGGAGTTTATTCCAGTTTTACACAGAAAGCTATTGAGAGTTTTTAAGAGTGTGGTTGACTTGTGATTATATTTTGAGATGTTCTCTATGACTGATGTGTTAAATTGTTAGCATACACTACAGGCACAGGTGAAGGCAAGGCAGTTAAGAAATGTTGGAGTAGTATTTATTTATGTTGGACAAGTAAAAGTGGTGTTTCGATGACTGTTCTGAGAAGATGGTGAAAAGAAGTCAGATTTAATAAGATACTGTGGTAGCAGAGCCAGAAGTACTACCATGTTTCCCCGAAAATAAGACCTAGCGCATGGAAAGATAAGACATCCCCTGAAAATAAGACCTAGCGCAACTTTGGGAGAAAAAATTAATATAAGACACCGTCTTATTTTCGGGGAAACAGGGTAGGTAATGGATTGGATGTGGGAAAGGAAAAAAGGAATTGGAAATTCCCATATTTTTGGTCTGCACAACCAGGTAAAAAAGGAAGAAAAAGATGAAGAATTTGAGAGGGAAAATCAGATATTATATTACAGATGCCTATTAGAGACCCCAATAGACAGTTGAGTATGCAGAACTAAAGCTAATGGGAGAGGACAGGGCTAGGAATACAGATTTGGGAGTCAGCAGCATTTCACCTAAAGAAAGTGCAGAGGAAAAAATTTAAGAAGAGCCCTAGGATCCGTCAAGTCTTGGGGGACTGTTAGAGCAGAAGGAGCTGCCAGTGAAGCAAGAGGAAAACCAATAGACTGTGGTGTCCCAGAGAATGTTTCAAAAAGCATGGAAGTGGTCAGCTGTGTTAAATGATGCTGAGAGATTGAAAAAGTTGAGAATAAAGAAATGACCTTGGATCTGGCAAGATGAAGGTCACTAATGACCTCGATAAGAGTCATATCAGTGGAATGGTGGGGATGAAAGTTGAATTGAAGGAGATTGAGAAGAGAATGATGAAAACCATGAGTGTAGACAACTATTCAGAGTGTTAAAGGAAACAGAAATGGAGCAATAGCTGGAGGGGGATGTGGAGTGATATGAAGCCAAGGCTATCACTGACAACTGCAGTCTCGATATGTAAACCTAATTAGAGTTTATTTGTCATTTGAGTCACAGTCCAATGTGAGTTGAGTGGCGTTCTTCCAGGACTAACCCAGGGACCCAGGCATCTTCAATCTCATAGCACCAACATGTAGCCGTCAAAGTCACCTAAGAAAAAAGAGCATAGAGAATCAGGAATGGGAAATTTATTTTTTTCAAACCTCACCTGAAGATATGTTTTTATTTTGAGAGAGGGAGGGAGGGAGGGAGGGAGGGGGAGAGAGAGAGAGAGAGAGAGAGAGAGAGAGAGCGAGAGCGAGCGCGAGGAACATAGATATGTGAGAGAAACATCAATCCGTTGCTCTGAGGGGATTGAACCACAACCTTTTTGGTGTACTGGATGATGCTCCAATCAGCTGAGCTATCTAACCAGGGCATGAGTGGGAGATTTTTATGGGCCAAGCCTGAAAGTGGAATACATTATTTCTGGTGGAAATCTACTTTCCATGTGGTCTTCACAAGGGGGCTGAGAAATATATTTTGAGAATAATTTAGCTGTGTGCCCAGAAAGAAGAGAAGAAAATGTATCTGAGCATTAGCAGCCTCTGGCACTGAAGTTTTGTTTTGTTTTAGAGGGTTTTGTTTTGCTATTAAGGCATATTTGTATTAAAAGGAGACTGACATAGCAGTGAAGGCGAAATGGATGATGATGGAGTGTAGGGGGTAATGTGTGAAGAAGAGAGAAAGAATGAAATCTAGAGCGTGGATTAAGGGACTGGCTGTAGATTAGAATGGGTACACTTCTGTGGTAACCAGAAGGAAGACAGCTGATGTAGAGAACCTGGTAGACTTGATGGTATGAAGATGAGGTAATCAGCCAAATTGCCTTTTTTAAATTTATTTTTTAATAGTGAAGAATGATGATGTAAGGTTCAACTGAGAGTGAAAGGCTAAGGTGAGGCTCAAGGAGAAGAAGTACATGGTATATGAGAATGGAATTTTATAAAGAATATCTGGCTGTGCTAAATATCCATTTGAAATTTGTCGTCATAAATGTAATGTTAAACCAGTAAACAATGTTTCTTTTTAAAAAAATATTTTTTGATTGATTTTAGAGAGGAAGGGAGAGGGATAGAGAGATAGAAACATCAATGACAAGAAAGAAGCATTGATCGGGTGCCTCCTGCATGCCCCTTACTGGGGATCCAGCCCACAGCCCTGGCATGTGTCCTTGGCCAGAATAGAATCTGGGACCTCTCAGTCCGCAGGCTGACACTTTATTCACTGAGCCAAACCGGCTAGGGCAACAGTATTTCTTATATGGTTTTTAACCTAGGGGATATCAATGGATAATATTATGAAAAAGAAGACAAAGAATTCGGAAAACTTAAATCTGGACGGGAATATGAGGGAGGAATGCGTAATACCATTAAGCCCACTCCCTCCTGAGTAAGCTTGTCGATTCTCATGGTTTTACCCATGGTCACAGGACCATACGTCCAGCCTGGATCGTTCTCTTGGCTTCAGACCTATATATCCAGTTTTCTTCAAGACACCTCCATGGGGAAAGTCATAGGCATCCAAACTTAGCCTATTCAGCATCTGTCCCACGTTCACTCTTCCTCCCACATTCCTTATACCGCCAGCTTCCCATAGATAGGTGAAGGCCTGGATGTGGGATGGGGAGGGCTGGAAGAAGCCAATGGGAGGGGAAAAAGGGACATTTGTAATACGTTCAACAATAAAGATTAAAAAAAAAAAATTAGGAGCCACCCTTGACTCTCTCGCTCACCACCCTAATCAACCCCACAACATCCAGTCACCAAATCCTACTGATTTTTACCAATCAAATATGAATCCATTTCTTTTCCATCTTTTGTTGTTGTTATTCCTCACCCGAGGGTATTTTTAGAGAGAGTGGGAGGGAGAGGAAGAGATAGAAAGAAACATCAATGTGAGAGAGACACATCGATTGGCTGTCTCCTGCACATTCCCTGGCCAGGGCCAGGAACCTGCAACCAAGGTAAGTGCCCATGACCAGAATCGAACCCGGGATCCTTTCTGTATAGGGGCCGATGCTCTGTCCACTGAGCCAAACTGCCTAGCATCATTTCTTTTCCATCTTGATTGTCACTGTCCTTGTCCAAATTATCTTCATATTTCACCTTAAGGTCTGTAACCATCTCCCATTATGCCTGTCTACACTTTTGCGTTCAACCCCATTCAGAACCTTTGCTGATTGAATCCTCCGTATGGATGGACATCAGACCATACCACTTTTGTGCTTTGAAACCATCCATCAGCCTTAGATACAGACTCTTGGTCGTGGCTGACAAGTTCCTCTATAATCCAGCCTCTGCCTTGTTCTTCAGCCTCATCTTCTGCCCTCCATGCCTCATTGACACCTCCTGGAACTGCTTCGTGGCTTCTCAGATTCCAGGATCCAGGATCTTGTCTCTCTGCCCTTG